ATCTAATAAAAAAGCAGCAAAAGCCAAATGCAAAAAAGATTGAATACTTGGCAAAACTGTGATAAGCTGAAAATTGCACCCACATCTGTCACCCAAAGCTTCAAAAAAAGAATTCTGTTCATTTTAGTGATACATTTCCTTTCTTTTGAGGCATGTCTGCATTGAGCATGAACATGTGAGCATATCAGCACCCCATAGACCACCACACTTCAGCTCCCCGGAGAGACATTATTACCAGTTATGAAAGCAGCGGTCTGGTTGGGGGCGCTCTGTCGAGATGTTGCGACATTGACAGTGAGGGGAGAGAATAATTGAATGTGCCATTGTTGCGCGGCACTCTGCAAGCGTTCTGTGCGGCAGACTGTTCAGAGGAACAGAGAAATTATTATTCTCCCGTGCACAGTTGGTATCACTTGTCTCGCAGGCACATAATGGTGAGCGTTGAGACATCAGTGAAGCACAGGCCCGTGAGAGAGCCTGAAATCCATTTTCACACGAGCAGCAAGTTGTGAGAATTGTTAATTGCTTCTCCGATTCTAGCCGCTCTGAAAATCTGGCCACCCAGGACCCCAGGACTCCTAAGTCGGAAAGGATCGCGAATTGGGATCCATAAGCGAGACATTGTTTTTCCTCATTAGTCTCCAGGCAGCAGTAGTGACTTGCATGAAGGTGCTCCTTGGTCACAAGCAGACGGAGGCCTGAAGAGAGAATTACTCTGAGCTTTGGGCTTGTTCATTTTCATGGACTAGTTTCACCACGAAGCCAGACAGCCAAGTGCATTATAATTCAGTACACTTCTGATGGTGTGTCTCAACGTCTCCTCACAGTGGGCAGACTACAGGTCCTCATGCGGTCCAGGGTTTGCCATATGGAGGGAGTGCATTTCAGGGGTTCAGTGACCTGAACAATAGGAAAGGGAAAAAATATCTGGTGGAGAAAGCAGCGGTGGATATTTCCAGGCTGAGTTTGAAGGGAATGCTGGGTTATGGAGTGAAACAGATGGAGGGTGACATTGAGTGGGTTTGGTTTGCCCTCTAAATGCCATGCCCCTCAGGTGGCCCAGGAGAATAAACCTCTATTAGGACGGAGAGATTGACTGGCACATTCAAATTTTGTGAGGGCATAGCTGCGCAAGAGTGTGTGTTTATGTCAGGGAGAGAACGAGAGATGGCGCATGAGGTCCGACTTGGCCCCTGAGAATTCCCCACTATCAGGAAGTCCATGGTGACAGTCACATTTAAATACTTTGGGAGACAACATGCTTGAACTTAATTTCAGATAACCTGGGAGACCACGGAAGCAGAACAGAAAAGCACAGACTTTAAGTGCAAGAGTGCTAACTGGGGCGAGGGCTACAAGGTTCTCTCCATTCAGCCCTTTCAAAAGCACTAACGAAAAGTAAAAATATTTCATGTGCTGTACTCACACACAAAATGTGATGAACAACGACATATTAGGGCTGCACGATATTGGAAAAAATCTCACATTGCGAGATTTTGTTTTTCTGCGATATATATTGCAATATGGAAAAAAATATATATATCACCAGATGACTTGAATAGCTTTATTTGGGAAAAAAAATCAATGATTGGGGTGATTTTGTAGGTGAGTAAATCAGCATAGAAACTAAACAAATTACAAGCATAGATAAATATAATAGAACAAAGATACAAATGAAGGTGAACAGTGCTTTACTTTTTTTTAAGGGTAAGTCTAATAGTATTCAGGTACAGAAATGTAATAATCAAATGTAAAATAACACTGCAAAGTCTTCACTGTATAAATTAAATCGAATAAATCTGTGTTAAAGGTACAAAATGTTCTCACACATCCATTTTCTTTCTCAATTGTCTGCCTTCACCTAAGCAACTGTGTTTACAAGGACACTTGCAGAGACATGCATTTTGACAATTTTGCGCATATGTGTTATTAATAGACGCGGAAGTGAACGGAATTCAGAGTTCACATGCATCTGCGTGACTCTCACTGTGTCTACACTAGACGCGAGCGGCTTGGCGGGGCGCAACAAAATACTATGAACCAACTATAATCAGTGATGCTGTCTACTCTGGAAGCGGCACGGCACGTCAAATCCCCAACAGTAAACTTATGCCGCGTTCTATTTATGACGGACTGACACACAGTTCAAATGATTTGCAAAGATCCAAGTCACATCCAGTATAGTAGACAGACTAGCTTTTGTGGGCTGGGGCGGCACGACACGATAGATGTCTCGTCCGGTGACACAGTGTCTGTGTGAGCAAAGAAAACGATCAGGATAAATGAAACGGTCAGTATACTAAACATCGCACATCCTGCGATGTGACTATCGCGGATGCGCACATCGCGATATCGATGGTGAAACGATATATCGTGCAGCTCTATGACATATGCTAATAAAAAAAATGCCATTGCTGCAAAAAAATATAGAAATTCTCTCACACTGCCTTGATTTGGAGATCCTCATTTAGTCTTAAAAATAATTAACTTTGCATTAATCTTAACTCTGTGCTGTTTGGTGTCTCAGAAACCCCAAGTTTGTTTTATTGGCTCAAAAACATACTTACAAGTGAGAAACAACTTAATTAATGCCTACATATTGGGTTTTGATTAGGTCTGAGGGGGGCATATAAGAGAAACATATAGGAGGTAAGGGGGGGGGGGGGGGGGGGAGAAAAAAAACGTTATGAAATAAACGTTTTTCTCCAATGCATGTTAGACACAATTATTGGCACCCAATGACTGCAACGTCCTTTTCCCAAGATAGCAGCTCTGAGTTTGGAGAACACTTGACAAGAGATCAGAGAACATTCCTTCATCCAGAATCTCTCCAGACCCTTCAGATTTCCAGCTCAATGATGGTGCTTCTTCTCTTCAGTTCACCACACTCATGTTCTATAGGGTTCAGGTCAGGGAACTGGGTGCAAAGATAAATTAAGCTAAATTTGCATTGCTAGTGGTGTGTTTTTTTTACCCATACATATGTGACAAAATCAGAAATGCAAAGCGTAAGTGAAATGAAAAATGTAAATAAATCTGCCAAACCTGTAAAAATTACATTAAAAAAAAAGACAGCAACCACTGTTACCGGGAAAATACTATCACACACAGAGCAAACTAGCAATAGGGATTGTTCCAAGCACTCGCAATAACAGTACAACAACAAATACTTGTCCATGATAGGCTTATCGTATCCACAGGTAAAATTACACCTTTTCAAGTGTGTCATGAAGAGGTAATTGGGCGTGCTGTGTCATCTTTACAAAGAGGAAAGCTGGAGCTGAATTCACACAGCTGTTCTGACCGTGCCCTAATTGCTCCATGGGAAGCTTCTATCTCACCAGAGGCCAAAGATTATAGGCATATCACATTTATTTACTTCCCCCTGAACCACGGATTATACGATTTAGAAAGTATAGGCTAATACTGTGTCTTGTTTTCCATTTCAAACCGAAATGGGCTAAAACTAGGGAGAGGGAGTTCAGATTACAGATGGCAACATGCTTTCCACTCAAGGACAACATCCCTGATATTTACAAAACACAGACAGAGATCAGCCTTTTAATGTATTATCACTAATTAAAATGAAATGAAATGACACTGCTTTGAATAAATGTATTCAGTTTTGGATTTAAAGTTCTTAGTAAAATAATGCTAAAACATTATTTCAGCATACACAATGTCATTCCAAACAAGCAGGGCTTTTCTTCTGCAAAACATGCAAAAGAGTTATCTGCCCATTTCCATATTATAAAATGTAATTGTGACAATGGCTGTCATTTGCGAAAAAGCAGCATGGACATTCCAATAAATACCTCCTGTCATGTTTCACAGAAGTAAATAAGTCAAATGGGTTTGGAATGATGACAGACCTTCTCTTTATACATTGCCTAACTACGACATGGTGTAAACAGAAATCTGTCTGACCAACCCTTGAGTCAGATTTCCAAGCTTTCAAACAGATAACACTCAACAAGACGTGAGTCAGCTTTGAAGTCCATCTGACACCTGCTAAATCAGAAGAGCCAGAAGAATACACCCACCAGCTCCATCTCTGCGCAAAACAATCTGGGGGGGAGGGGGGGGCAAGGCAGGTGTGCGTAGGAATGAAGACTGGAGTCGAGCATGCCAATTCAACAGGGGAGATGAGGAACAGCTACTGCAGAGCAGTTATGGGGGAGACTCGCAGGACCGGTGATTCTTTGAAGACAAGAGTCTGTAGAGCTTGCGACACCCATGGGCTTTGGATGAGCAACAGCGAGTCTTCGCCAGGAGCAGCCGCTAAGATTACTGCTCTTCCTTTAATCCCACAAAAGGGATTAGATGCTGCCTGAGAAGGGGGAGAGCAGTTCTCCCATAGAATGGGGTCTGCTTTGAATTAATAACACTTCTCTTCAGCCTGGTAAAACAGGACTTTATAACACAATCACAGCACTGGAAACAAGGGTTATGGTTTAGCACAGCCGCACACACACAGAATCAGAGTTCCCCCACACATGGTCACAAGGACTCCAAATTCTCAAGGGGTTTTCCTTCCCTCACTGTCTACTTTGACAGCTTTTTCAAGCCCAATAACCTCCTACAGAAGAGCGCAGAGGAAGTGAAATTCTATCAGTGTGGTAGGAAAGCTTTTAGCTGAGTAGCATCTGCACACACAATGGAACATAGTGCTGAGGGGACAAGAGGAAAAAACTTTATTGTGATGCATGATTGCAATGTCATTCATCAAGTTTCAGAGCACCTCAACTACATCCTGCAAGGAAGCCAACTACAACAAGCCCCATATAAACTCATGATCTGGCATTTAATAATAAATTTGAACAATAAAATAAAGTTCTACACAAGGGTTGTTCAGAAGAATCTCCCGAGTGGACTTACAATGCTCCGATCGCTGCCGGACACTTTCAGATCAAATCCCCAACCAGCCGGACAAACAGTAAAAACCTGAGAGTACAACAAGCGCTGAATTCCTGAGGTGAAAGAGTCTGTCCGAAACTTACCCCCCTTGTTCCATCTGCCCTTATTCCTGCCCTGAAGGGACGGATGGGGAATGTCCAGGAAGACCAGCAGAAACAAAGTGACTCTCACAGGAGAGAGGAGGAACATCTCAGGTCTCAGGGATAGAAGGTGAAGGTCCTTCACCTGCCCGTATTTATGCCCGCTGGAGCACGAGGGGCGCACGGAACCTGGCTCGTATGTCCGGTCATCGGTCACAGTCCAGAAGCAAGCGTGAAGTGTGCGTGTGCCTCCACCACGCTGCCGAGAGCTCCCGAGCTCTGCCCGCCTAAGAGCGCACGTGTGAGAGTGAGACCCGCTTCTCAGTCAAGCTCCATCATACGAGATCGAGAGCCTTCATCATCCGAGAGTGAGAGAATGAGCGTGTGAGAAGCACAGCGCAGCTCAGTCTTCCCTCGAAACATGCGCATGGATGCATGCACACACACGCTCCCTCTCGCTGCTGCCACCGCTGTCCAAAGCCGTACGCTGTTTTCCCTGCAGTAGTGGATCTGTCCCAGTCCACAGTGAGAAATCTCCCACACAATCCTTCTTGTTTTCCCGCTTTGCACTCCAAAAAGCTCCACAGCGTGTGTTCGTCTATGTGGAGGAGTTTCCAGAGAGGAAAAGGAGGTGGGGAGGAAATAACATGCACCGTGGGTCACAAGGGATGCGCCAGGAGAGAGGGAGAGCGAGGGCAGGATGGCAGAGAGATGCAATGTGGTGACAGCACTAATCCTGGAGCTCTGATCATAACAGACGTTGAGGCAGCGGAAGCCAGAGAGGCTCTTTAAAGACTAATAACACTCTCGGCTTCAACTCTGAGAGAGAGAAAGCAAGAGAGAGAGGGAGTGCAAGAGAGAGAGTCTTGGAGATAAGAGTAGGGGGAGAAGGAGTGATGTTGGACACTGCAATAGTCAGCAGGTTTGCCTAAACATGCTGGTTCTCGGCTTGGGGAAAGTTAGTAGCATTAAACGTCCTCAGGGGGCTCATGCAAATTAACATTGCCTGAAACTCTCAAACACACACACACACACTTGCAAAACGCTTACGCTTAAGACTGTTATTTTTTGCCAAGCTGCTGTCAGAGGGCGAATGCACACTGGGCTTGGGGTTTTAGGGTGTGAGAGACATGCGTGAGATTTATCGTCATTTGGATTCATACAGAGCATATAAATAACATCTGAAGCAGCAGCAGTGCCATTAGTAACGACTCGGCTGACAGTTACAGCAAACAATGACATATGAAAACATTTCCTGTTATCTACATGAATAAGTCTCGATTTATGATGAGCACTAGATGACCTTCCTCTTTTAACCACTGCAGTGGAACTATAAATCATTTTATGTCAATCAAAATGTCTTGAATTACATTCCAAGTACAATGCTAGGCTCTTTGCTATATGAATAGAAAAATACATATTCTGATGGTACCCTTTCATCACAGTCAAATCTTACATAAAGAATAAATATGGCACTCAATCTTACTGCTTGGCTCACACTTTCTTCATCCTGAAGAACATTTCTCATCATATCTGTTTAAGTACGAAGAAACTCAATGGCCAAATGATTCCCTGAGAGGCAAAAGAAGTTTCTCTTCAGCTGCTTCTTTTTAAATGTCAGTGACTAGGCACCCATCCAAGTGCTTGAGGGACACAATAGTAAGGTTGTACAAATAGACATGAACATTTATTTACAGATTCACACAGCAGTTATAAAGATCTGCACACTTGGGTTGGGAATCAGTTCTTATTGAAAACAGTTCCATTTAAAAAACATATTGGAGCCAAACAATTTAAGACATTTCGCTCTGTTAAATAATCTTGAATGTCTGCATTCTTTTGCCATGGCAGATGTAATGACAGAACTGATAAAACCTGACAGTGTTTTCCACACTTCAATTCAGCAGTCACTGTGCCGCTATTGAATCCACAGTGCCACGGAAAAAGAAATTGTTTTAGCAGAGTTGTGAGCTTGCCGTCTCAATTGAATGTGATGAGAAAGAGAGAAAGCCTGAGCACCATAAAATAATATAAAGACAATAAGCAACAACATTGCCTCTTTCTGTTGTATCATTCTTGCTTGTTGCAGCAAGCAACAAACACAGCGCAACCTGTACAGTCTAATTCGCAAATGAATGACTGTGACCTGATTCTTTTTTTAATAAGTCATTCAAAATGACAAATCACCTAAATTCACACTGAACACTAGAGAGATTAGAATACTGCAATCAAAATCCAAAGTGACTACAAATTTAGTTCTCATTTGCTTTCACTAACTGTGCACATATAATCACATAATTCAAATACTACACTGTATATATGCATTCATTTTTTTTTTTTTCATCTTGCATCCAAGATAGCCCTCTTGGATACTGGCTGATTAATAACACACATGCACTTGCCAACTTCATGCATTATACAGAGTGAGAGACTAACCAGCTTTTTGTGTAACAAACTGAAGGGTACAGATGTGCTTGCATTATATAAAATCATTTTGAGATTGACTGTATTCTGCACATCATAATGCTAGCATCATCATGAGTCAAAAAAAGATGTCAGTCAAGATCTCAGTTTCAAATATAGTTTCTTTAAAGTCAATATTACACTGCAAGCAAACAATCCGTAGAAAAACTTGTATTCTGTCAGGACATCCGTTCTGTTTATAGACATTTCTTTTAACCCTAAAACACCTTAATGCAAACAATTCAAAATACAGGTGAAACATGTGATGTTGTTGTCAGCAATATTTTAAATTGGATTTATTTATTATTAATTTTTGCATTTTAAAATGGTACATATATAATTTAAATGGTAAATATTATTTACTGAATGTGTTTACAAAATAGTACTTATCTTTACTATATAGCAGTACATTTGCTTGGTTGCTTAAAAGTATTAGTACTAAAAGAATCATTAAGTGACTCATTAAGGAACCATAACTATTAAGTGGAATCGTAACCAGAAACATTAAACTCCTCACTCTTATCTGTAATACACACCATAATGCCCTGATTTATCCATTATTTTTAATTCAACATGGCTAATTAATACTCTGAAATTACACAGAACCTTGAACAGTAGCTGAACCTTTAAATGTGCAATTGCATCCAATCTTCAAACACACTATCACACCTCAATTCACACAAAAGCATACGTTTCTTTTTTGGATCGTCACCTCTCTTGCAAAATTCGAAGCAACATGGCGGCCTAATTGCAGCCTCGCTGAGTGAAAAAAAGCATCTGTTCCTAATGCAAACATGCTGTAAAACTGAAATGGAGAAAGATAAATCTGATCCTGAGAGAGACACGAAAACCACCTTAATCAAGACAAACTGGGGCTGCAGGCAAACTTTTGTAGCAACTCGGCACAAGTTCAGCCGCCTCTCCACAGCAACACCTGAGCCATTGACTGCATGCAAAACCAAAACGCTTTCATTTCAAATGGTCCACTGTGAACCAATCATCAATAAATTAATTCAAAACACTGTTATAAGGTTTGGTACATGCGTGGCATGTGCTTTTGTGTTACGACTGCAAAGCTGAAGGCCACTGAACAGCTGTACAGACTCTTCAATAGGGCTTCTCAGCACCTGTACAGCACCGTGAGCCTTAGCAGCATGCTAAAGACTGGAAAGATTATGTAAGGTGCATTTGTTCACATCATTGTACTTTACTTCTCACCTCAGGACTGCCTGAGTGTACGATAAATGGCTTTTTGTCATTTTTTACAATCAAATCACAAGCTATTGTTGTTTCAAAAGCATAATGTGTATGGTGACAAAACTAATGCCGTAAAAAGCCAAGCCCTTGTGATGTGAGGACAAAGTCAATGCCACAGCCAATGAAAAGAGGAATAGTCTTTCTCAGCATGCTCTGTCATTTAAATAACAGCGATTGTCTGATAAATGAAGGCTTATTTGCATAAGCTGCTAATTATTGCCTTACCAAAGCCCAAGATGGAAAATTACAATCTCAGGATAGGAAAATAGAAATGTTATCAATAAAAACTCTTGGCGCGCCAATACTTAGGAGCTCATATGATGCTAATATAATGGGCATAAGCTCTGGTGTAACATTAACTCAAAGAATGGCGTAAATCTTGAGGCAGAATGCCAGTTAGCGCTAGTTTCGTCTATGTCAAGCCTCCCCGGGAACCTATTTGCTTAAACTGTTTGTAGATGGGTCTGTTTCGCAAATACATTTAAATACATGCATTATTTCTGCATTCGAGAACAAAAGAGAAGGAGATGAGCCATTTGGAGGATGACAGATAGATGGAGGAGAAGTGGAAAGCGTAGTGATAGAACGTCAGGGGAAACACAGAGAGACGGGCCCTTGGATCCATGTAGGGGTGAGCCTGACGGCTTATCGCCCCAGACAAGAACCCCCTGGATAAACTCGGTCCGAACAGAAGCGGGGTGCAGCGTTGTGATAAGCAAGGAAGTTCGGTAAGGCAAAACACGAAAGGAAGGACAGCGAGAGGGAAAGATATATAGAGAAATGGAGTGAATAAGCCTTGGGAAGACAGTGCCAACAGTGGCAGCAGTGCCAGGAATGCCTCACCAGCACTGCACGGCTAAACCTCTTAAAAAATTTACACAGAAATTTGGCCAATGTAGGTTATCAAAAGCGCAAGTGTGTAGCAGCAGCGTTCGTTACAGCAAAATGCTGAAACATTAAAGAAAGACAAACTACATTGAGAGTCTAGTTCCAGCAAGGCCTGACTCTTGATGGCTCACCATGAAATGTACTTCAGGCGCTGGAAGTAGCATGGAGAACAGTCAAAATATATCACCCGATGGCAATCTGGCTTGCCTCTTTATTTCTGCATTCGAGAACAAAAGAGAAGGAGATGAGCCATTTGGAGGATGACAGATAGATGGAGGAGAAGTGGAAAGCGTAGTGATAGAACGTCAGGGGAAACACAGAGAGACGGGGCCCTTGGATCCATGTAGGGGTGAGCCTGACGGCTTATCGCCCCAGACAAGAACCCCCTGGATAAACTCGGTCCGAACAGAAGCGGGGTGCAGCGTTGTGATAAGCAAGGAAGTTCGGTAAGGCAAAACACGAAAGGAAGGACAGCGAGAGGGAAAGATATATAGAGAAATGGAGTGAATAAGCCTTGGGAAGACAGTGCCAACAGTGGCAGCAGTGCCAGGAATGCCTCACCAGCACTGCACGGCTAAACCTCTTAAAAAATTTACACAGAAATTTGGCCAATGTAGGTTATCAAAAGCGCAAGTGTGTAGCAGCAGCGTTCGTTACAGCAAAATGCTGAAACATTAAAGAAAGACAAACTACATTGAGAGTCTAGTTCCAGCGAGGCCTGACTCTTGATGGCTCACCATGAAATGTACTTCAGGCGCTGGAAGTAGCATGGAGAACAGTCAAAATATATCACCCGATGGCAATCTGGCTCTTTTGTAACTAGTTTCTCAGCTTGGGCAAATGCTTCACAAGATACTGGATAATCTATTTTCTTCTCGGACTCAATAATCCAAACCCTGCGCCCACTTCTCGCACCAATTTGGTTGTTTGTCTTTGTATGTATGACTGTTATGCAGCACTGAAATAATAATAATAATACTAATAATTATCTAGCATTGCTACCATCTGGCTCACGATTAACATTCCAATTAGAATTTGCTGCAATCAGAGTGGTGCAACTTCCACTGCAGGAAATAACTGCTGTGACAACGGCTATTATTAGCCTTGA